GGCGGGAGCGCCGCCGCGCTTCCCAAGTGGCGCACTATAGCAGTGCGCCACCGGGCCGGCCAAGTAAGGCAACTTTCTACAATGGTTTTGCAAAACCGTGTTTATGGTGACCAGAGCTGACACTAGACACTAGCTACACGTGGGAATAAGAAGATGGTGCAGGCTCACAGCTGTTGCAAAGTATAAAGTCCATCCTGATTCCAGGCATTCCTGGGGCAAAGCACTGAGCAAGGACCTTCTCTGACATACCCCTCCGTGAGCCTCCCCTACTCAATATTTCAGAACACAGAGTAGAAGAAACAGCAAAAGCCCTGCAGAATATATCAAAGTTGCTGACATTCTGATTTTCAAAAAGAAAACTAGTAAGCTTTGAAATTGGCTCAAAGAGCCCTAGTTTTATGACTGGCACCAGGGCAGCATTCTGGCACCTGGCCCCACAGATCACTAACTATGCAGCATCAAACTTTAGACTGGGTAGTCTGGAAGCTCAATAACCAGGACTAATATGCACTAACTCATCCTCAATTGCATCAATTGGTCCAGTACACAAAAGTCAAGAGAGTTTGAGACAATACACCACACATTTCACATCAGTCTGTAGCCCCTGAGATGCACCTGCAGCACTCCAGGCACGATGGTGCTGCCAGGCACAGACCCTACTCTTACAGCATGAGGAAGAAATGCCTGAGCTTTCTGACAGCAATAGGTCAAGGGCCCAGCTGAGAAAGGGAACACCGGAGTGCTTACATACCACTGCTGCCAAAGAAGCTGGAGGAGGAGAGGAGGCAGAGAAAACACAGACATGTAGAACTCACTTCCTTCCCTGACATGCCCCATTCTCCCAAATGGGTCATTAACAATCCCACCTCGTTTTGCTTGGAGAAAATGTACAGGTATGCTTGTGTGTGTGTGTGTGTGTGAGTGTGTGTGTAATCCCACCTCGTTTTGCTTGGAGAAAATGTACAGGTATGCTTGTGTGTGTGTGTGTGTGTGAGTGTGTGTGTGTGTGTGTGTGTGTGTGTGTACTTAACATCTTTACTGAGTCAATGAAAACATTTAAAATACATAGTATTCTCAGAGTTTTCTATTCAGTACATAAGACTGCTGATAAACAGAACAATGCTTCTGAAATGAAGAGAAAGGTAAAAAAGAAGCATTTTTTTTTAACTTTAAAACAATTTGCACAGTCAATGTTAAAAGATAGAGAGGACACATTTAATACTGAAAATCTCCAAGAACAGATTATATATCTATTTTAAAAGCAGTAATACTTAAATTTTCAAGGAATAAAATTTCTCTTTTGACTGGAAGTGCAATGGCTTAGATGGTGCTTATTTCCAGTTTTAAAAGGACTAAAACGAAATAATTTGAAATGTATAAACAGTGACAGGTGAGCAACATGGTATGAGGTTAGAGGTTTTTAAGAGATGTCCTACCCTTTTTATTGGGATAAATTTCAACGACGTTGTTACACGAAGCCAGACTAGGGGTCAAGTCCAGCTCTGCTCTGTGTGAGCACACAGTATAAGTTCAAAGAGATACTCTGTCTGGCCAAGGAAATAATAACAAAAAAGAAAGAAGGTACTTTTAGCACAACTTCCTTCTTCTGTATGCTTACTTAAAATAATAGGTTGAAAGGCAAGCACTGGCCAAGCAATTTCCAGAATCTTCCTAACAACCACCCCACACCCCTTTCACTGTGGTCTCCACATATGGCAATACAAAACAAGATTGCTGAAACCATAGCAGTAGCTGTGACACCCAGTGGTCCAACCAAAACCCATATAAGGCACTAATCTAAAGCCTGTATTACATGAAACAGCTCAAGGATGCCAGAAAGTCATCTGATCATTTCTTTTTCCCTGACCTAGCTAATTGGCACTAGACACAAGAAACAAAAACAAAACAAAACTCTAACTCACATACAGTCAGAATTGAGAATCCTTGGTTAGGAAAGATGAGAAAAGCTTAGACAATCTTAGGTATTTTTCTTTCCCTAAAAGGCACCTGGTTCTGGAACTATGGGAGTTCCTCAGGTAAGTTCATGTTCAAAATAAATATAAAATACTATCCAAAAGATCTGTTAGCTAACCTCTCATACTGTGACAAAACATCTTAAGAGACTGCCTGTTAGAATTCTGGTAAGAAATACCATTGCTCTTAAGCAAATAATTTGTAACACTGAAGATTACTTGGGGCTTGTATAACTGGATGACATTTTCCTTCATGTGACCCAAACTGATGGCTTGATATCTGGGGGAGAGCCCAATTAACCAACAAGAGAGAGAAAGAATGACATTTTCAATGTAGTAATTAGGTGAGACAAGGGAACCTCAGGCCCTTTTGCACAGAAATTTCATTCCCAATACTCTAACAAAGAGGTAGCAATACTTCACGTGGCAGGTGCCAGCAAAATGAAAACACTGGGATTCTGAAGTATGAGGCTATGAAGCCATCACTCCAAAGATGGCCATCCACTGTGCTTAATAATATCAGCATGTCCAAAGAAGCCAATTTCCATGTACCTTCTCATTTCAAATTATATCCTTAAGAAAAACAGGGCATTTTATTGAACAGAAGAGAAACACTGAAATGTGCAAAAATTAACCAGATGTGGGCGAGGAGCTGGAGAGAAATCCCTACACCATCATGGATGGCCAGACTTCCAACCCCTTCCATCTCAGCCTGGATTTTGGCATGGTCTGGGTTGAATTGTTTAGATCTGGTTTTCGATGAGGTCACAAAGAGGAGAACAGATCAAATCAAACCAACCATCTGGTCAATCTGTCGCATGTAGATGCTCTTTAAGGGCAGGAAATATCTCCTCTCATCAGGAACACGATTGCACTAGAAAGACAAAAATGAGGGAAAGTGTGAATTTTGAATTAAAAACTTACATGGCGATCTCTAAGGAAATGTGGCTAGGTGATCTAATCCTGAATTTCTCAACCTGGGCACTACTGACATTTTAGGACAGACAACTCTTTGTTGTAGGGGCCTGTCCAGGGCAATGAAGGATGATTAGCAGCATCCCTGGCCTCTCCCACAAGATGCCAGTGCCAACTCCTGCCCCTCAGGTGTGACAACCAAAAATGTCTCCAGACCTTGTCCAATGTCCCTTGAGGAGCAAAATCACCCCCAGTTGAGGACCACTGACGTAATTTAATATCCACACTTCACAGGTAAAGAAACGAAGACCCAGACACCCATAGCAACTGCTTTAGTGGCCAGGACTAAAAGTTGCGTCCCTTAGGTACTTAATCGAGCCAGAAAACACTTTAGCTGTTGGACAATTATGTGGGTTTTTTTTTTTTTGAGTTATGTTCTTCTCGTCCACAACTAAAATCTAAATGCTTAGAAGTGCTATTTTTTAAGCTGGTTGGTTAGCTCAGTTGATTAGAGTGCAGTGTTAAAACACCAAGGTCAAGGATTCAGCTCTGCCAGCCGCCAAAAAAGAAAAGAAAAAAAAGTGCTTTTTTTTTTTTTAATTAAAGGCCTTTTCTCTCCCCACCTCCTCAAAGGAGATGCAGACCTTGAGAACCAACTAAACGTATTGTCCCTGGAAACAGCTGTCCACGTACATTCATTACACAATTCTTCCCCAAGGAAATGTTCTCCCAGTACTTGAACTCACTATGCCCCTGCAAGATAACTCAAAGGAGATGCAGACCTTGAGAACCAACTAAACGTATTGTCCCTGGAAACAGCTGTCCAAGTACATTCATTACACAATTCTTCCCCAAGGAAATGTTCTCCCAGTACTTGAACTCACTATGCCCCTGCAAGATATCCTGCCACCACTCTCTCCACTGGCCCCTGCGGCCAGGAGTGATAATGGCAATGCTACTCCTGTGGTTTCCCACACCCTGAGGACACCTATGTAAATGGCCTCTTTATGCAACTCTTCAAATTACCCAATCTGAGTGTGCCATTAATTTTCTGTCAGGAACTCTGACTGGCAAAGTAATTAGTTGTATTTTTTCTTCGTCCACATGCAAACCACCCCTGGGAGAAGCAACTCACATTGGAGCTGGAGTTGATGACTTTTAACTCGTGAGATTTAGGCCTGTGCACAGACTTTCCCTCTCGGTCCTGCCTTCCCTCTTCAGAAAAGAATTCCTTCCAGGGTGATTCCCGAAGATGTTCATCCACAGATACTATATGTCCCTCTGTTGTAAACATGTATCTTGTTCCAGATTTGTGTACTGGATTCTCCTCATCAAATAGCTAGAGGGAAAGAAAAAAATAAATAAATAAATATACAACTGGTAACTGCGGCACATTTGCGGCTATCTCTGAAAGTGTCTCAGCTTCTCAGAGAACAGAATTTGCTTGGACCTTCATGCTTTTCAGTGACAAATGGGTGAAAAGACAGATTAACAACCATGGTTCCCGACCTGGCTGCAAGGCAATATCACCTGTTTACACTCAGACGCCTGGACCTGTCCCCACCCCACACACACCTTTCCTAGACGTGCAGATTCAGAAATTCCAGGGCAAAGACCCAAGCACAGGTAGTCTGCAACAGCTCCTTGCTGACTCCCATATGCCACTCTAAGCTGGAATTGTAGAACTGTCCCCACCACACACATACCCAGACCCTAAGTTATAAAGGCTGGCGGAAGGAAGTCCATGTTTTCTTCCCTACCATATCCCCAGGGCCTAGCACCGAGTCAGCACACATGCCAACATTCAGTTCAGTTCCTGCGTCAAAACATGGGTCGGGCACTGAGGACTCAACAGCACACAAGGCACTGTCCTCCCCTCGGAAGGTCCTCCCCTGAAGGAGGGTGCGACAGGCGCATGCAGAAAGAAAACCTAACCCAATATGGGACAAGTCAGTGGGGGACAAGACAGGTGTTCAGTACATGTTGAATGAATACTTGGAAATTCTTAGAGATGGCAGAATCCTTATGGGTCACCTAAACTACGTATTTCAGAGACCAGGAAAAATGAGACGCAGAGCAGCGAATGGGAGAAAAATGGTGTAGACCCCAACTCGTCTCCCCCCAGATTCTGAGTTCTTTTCCCTAGCACACCCTCCACCAGGGTCTCCTTCCTTTACTCCAGAACTCGTCCTGTTAACATCCTCTGACACCAACACCTGATAGATGTAGACCCACGGTCAGCCTATTCAGCCAGCCACACTGAGAGCCAGAACCTTTGCGCACCATGGGATTCGGCAGCAGGACACCTGTCTTCCCACCAGATAGACCACGTGGTCTGCTGGGGACACATCTCCTCTGTAGTCTTCTGTGAAAAGTGATGCCACACAGAAGAGTCGTCCTAAGGGATTAGACCAGTGGCTCCAAAACCTGGCTTTGTATAGAATCACTGGATGCACTTGTCAAAATTACAGATTCCTGAGACTACTTCTTTTAAAGATTTAGTTATCTTAACAAGGGCACCAGGGTGATTCTGACCAGATTGCCCCAGCCCTGGGAACCACCAAACTGGGTGACACATTTACCACTGCTGCTGCTGTCTATAACTCTCAGCCCAAGTTCTCAGTCGCCACGCTACTTTCCAACCAGGAAATCCTGCCCCCTTTGTGCCTTAAGAAGTCTTCTTTTATATGTTGCCACATTGAGGCAAGTGACAGAGAGGGCAGGAGAGCAGCTTCGTGCACAGGTGCACAGGAGATATACGTGCATGTGGCAGAGCAGTGAGGTGGCAAGAGTAATGGATGAGGAGGCAGGGCCGTGGTTCATACCTCACCTCTGCTGTGCAGTCACCCCAAGATTTCAGGCAAGTCACCTGACCCCTCTATGCAGGCTGTGGCTCCCGTGAGGGCTAGTTGAACATTGACTAGGTGATCCCAAAGCTTCCGTCCAGGTCCAGAAGTTCTCTCTCCACACACACGAGTGTGTGCCTGAGGATGTGTGCGTGGACAGACAGCTGGGCTGCAGGCCTCGGCCATGATCACAAACAATCAAAAGAAGTGAGAAAGCTCTAAACACCACTCTCTTCTTCAGAGGAGTCTTTCCCAGCCAGTGCACTAACGCTGGCCCTCTACCCATTGCTATCAGCACTTCTCACCACTTGCACTCATGAGTTTTCTTTGTTTACCTGCCAAATGACTCCTCTATGAAGCTGGAAACCATGAAGGAAGATAGCAATATCTTTTTGTTCTGACCATGCCTGCATCCCTGTGAACATGCCACGTCCAGCACATAGCAGTGCCCAGTAAATACCCGTCAGAAGACTGCACCAATGCTTGCTCTAAGCCACACTAAATATTCCTTGGTTAATCCTGCAACACACTTACCAGATACAAGTATTTGCAGGTCTCACTAAGAAAGAAGCTCTCCATCCGGTCCTCTGTGGACTTGTCAATGACGTGGTGCAGCGTGGCATACCCACATCTGCAAGACAATTATCCAGTTAGTCCTGCCTCTGCACCGTCCCATCTGCTGGCTCATCGACAAAGCAGGAGTACTCGACTAACACAACAACCAACCAAGTTATCCAACACCATATGAAAAATAAACTATGTTACATTGAAAGGCTATCCATTTTTTATCCTTGGATTGCTTGTAAATTTATTTTAAAAGTGGCCTGGCTGCTAAATTATCAGGTTAGTTGCAGGTAGGAGGGAGGGGCAGGGACAATATTGGCCAAAAAGCAGAACACAGCACCAGGAAAATGACTAGCAACAAATCTAAAAGGACTGATTTAAATTTTTAATACTAGTACTTGTAGAACTGACATCATTCGGATTCCCTAAAATAGTATTTTGTAAGAAAATACTTATGATACACTGGTTAAGTTAAAAAAAAAAAAAAAGTCACAAAATTGAAATACAGAGTATGTTTTTTATATATACATATATACACACATTATATATAAGTATATAAAAAAGATTATAAATATATCCGCTTAAATGCTGACTATGCTTATCTCTGTATGAAGAGATTACAATGATAATATTCTACCTTGTTATATTTTCTGTATTTCCTAATGAGTGGGCCCCTCACAGGCCTGCACTCGGGGGGTCCCTAGCTTAAAGGTTCTTAATAGTGGGTGCTTTAAAAAAAAAAAAAAAGTCACAAAATTGAAATACAGAGTATGTTTTTTATATATACATATATACACACATTATATATAAGTATATAAAAAAGATTATAAATATATCCGCTTAAATGCTGACTATGCTTATCTCTGTATGAAGAGATTACAATGATAATATTCTACCTTGTTATATTTTCTGTATTTCCTAAATGTCTGAGTATATGAATTATTTGTATAACTAGGGAAAATAAGTTACTTATAAAAAACACACAGTCTGCTGGAAACTTACAGGAAAAAAAAATGGGGGTAAAAAGCAATTCCCACTACAATGGAGAGGAGCTACTACACCAAAAGGTAAACAATTTCCCTGCAAAATTAACATTAATGACCTGTTCTATAAATTAAAATGCAAAAACTAGGACAATATTTCCCCAGAACAACTCAAATTAAATCAAAAGTGGCCAACAGAAAAAGAAAGGAACTTAGAAAACTGACTTGACTTTTGTGTACTTTTCCAGACTCTGCAGAATATCCATTCCTACATGGAGGTAGAAGGGATTCTTGGTTGCCTAGAGAGAACATGAGAGAATGTGATCCAGCAAGAGCTTGGAAAACATGCCATCTATAAACACCACGGAGACTGCAGGCATTCCCCAAGGAGGTGAGTCACCGGCCAAAAGAAGGAACTGGGCCTAACTCACTTTATCCTCAAGGAGCACAAATGTTAAAGGAGTAGGCACTCTTTCAGTTCACATCAAAGCACACCTACAATTTAACTATACCCAGGGTTAGGACAATCTGCTCCAATGTAGAACCATACTCTGCTTTGGCTCTCCTGATCCCCGTCATGGTCATAAATGAAGCAACGCCCACCCTGACAGTACCACGTCAGAGAACAAATCCAGTTTCCATCTTGCCTCAGAACTCTCTAGAAACTAAGACACAGGCACAGGGAAACAGGACCTTGCCCCCACTCCAATTATAGCACTGTGAGGAAAGGCCAGTGAATAGGAACAATAAGACTTTCACAGTTTCCTCTCCAGTCACCCTAAGAAGTCAGTCCTTGGGTTGCTGACTCTTCTGTCACATGCTCTTAGATGGTTTTGTTAATCTCTGGGAGGATGAGACATTAACCCACAAACAGTTTAAAAGTTGGGGATCATCTTTAATACATGCCTAGTGCCAACATGCAGCAGCAAAAGCCAAAAGCTACAAGGTTAGCTGTTTCAGGATTAAAAGAGTACAGGGCATGGCGGCAGAGGGTAAATCTGTCAAGTGGGAGATTTCTCTTCATTTGAAGAAAACAGTCAATGTGAGGAAGAAGTTGAAAATAGGCAAGAAGCGGTGACAGAAACAAAGTGGCATAAACCCACAGGCACCAGGGCTGAGCTCAGGAGGAGAACACAGATAGCAGCCACCTGCCATCTCAACATGTGCACAGCCTGGGCTCCAGGGCCAGCATGAGGCGCCACCTTCCCCTTTCTATGACAGGTTACCTAAACTCATGAGGTCTCCCTTTACACAAGAGGATGATTGCCAGTTCCACAAGATTTCTCCCTTTTTCATCTAGAAGCAAATGGCAAGGACTCAGCATAAAAAAATGCTGAATAAATCTAACCCATAGTACTAATCCTACTACCAGAGCTTGTAAAAAATCAGGTTCTGCTTGCTAGGGCTTGCCCACTGTAGGCGTTTGCTACAGGCCTACTGAGTTGCATCAAAGGCCAGCTTCTTGGAAAGGTAACAGATTATGCTGCTGTGTTTGTGAATGATGAGGACTCTCAGTGTGTATATATGTATGTAGGCGTTTGCTACAGGCCTACTGAGTTGCATCAAAGGCCAGCTTCTTGGAAAGGTAACAGCTTATGCTGCTGTGTTTGTGAATGATGAGGACTCTCAGTGTGTATATATGTATGGCATGCACAGAAGTATAAATATCTGGCTTCAACTTTCGAGGAGAAGACATTTCACAGTTAAAGTGACAATCCCTCTGGCACTAAAGTAATTTCATGAAAGATATATTTTTCTTAGCACTAAACAAAAACAGGCATTCAGATGAATCCCAGATGATTTCCTTTAAAACCAAGAAAAAGAATTTTCTTTTTTTCTGAATAATTATTACACAGACCAGAGTTCCACAGTACACTGGTACTGAATTGCATCCCCCCAAAATGGTACTTTGGTCAAATAAATTTGGAACACACTTAGTACAAAATCTTCCTCTTGAATATTTAAAGATGTGAGAAGTAAGTCCTACAGTAAAGACACAATCCAGCTTTGCAAAATGTGAGGTTAAAAACCTTACGTGACTGCAGACACCTCCTCCATCCTGCGAAACCATGAACGACACTGAACACTAACAAGACCATAGAGAGGTGGTCACTCTATCAGAGTCACTGTGAAACAACATCATTCTAAATCAATCAGCAAGTGTTCATTAAGAACCAACTACTACAAGTCCTGCTCATGTTAAATACAAACTACTGTGTACTCTAGTACCTGATAGAGGAGATACGTGGATTCCACTAACTCCGGTCTCAGTGGGTAGAAGAGAACATCAGGGGCCTGTAGCTGCCAGTTATACCTCTCGGGGAGGGCACCATATCGTTTCCATATGGCATAGTAAAAGGCATGGAGGCAGATGGCATCTTCTACATCTCCTATCAGAACCTAAGGAGAAGACACAGGTCACCAGGCTGCGACACTTTTCCCAGAATGGCAAGACATGACACGAAGGCTCTGGGCTCTGCCTCTACTCTCCGGCTCTTCTCTGACCTACAAACATGGTTGGAGACAAAATCAACCCAAAAGTGACAATTCAGACAAACAGATGCCCTCACTATCTGGGTTGTGAACTGCATGGGAGAAGAGGTTAAATGTACTAATGAACAAAGAACAAACAACTGAGAGAAGCACTATCCAAAAATCACACACAGTTACTTTTCAAGCATGGTTTTGCACTTATGCAATATGGCTCTGTTCAATATTCTGGGGACTAATTCCACAAAGAGAATGATAGACACAGGTTGTGCTATTAACCTCCCAAATCCAAAGGAGCTAAAGAACACTCTGGCATCAAAGGCCTTTCTAATGGTTGCTTATTCTTCGCAAACCTGATTGCAGCATACCTGCAGTCCAGGGAAGAAGGCCTGAAGAGAGTCAATCCAGGTGTTCATCAGCTGGCCGCTGAACATGTTCACATTGACATAGAGTGGGGGGTCTCCTTCTCCTTCATTACAGGCTTCCCGCCTACAAATCCAAGCAGTGCATTCAAAGGTGAGAAGAAAACTCACTGACAGAGCTCAAGTTCTGTTCTTCCGGCAACTCCTGGTTGTTTCATTTAAATGGAACCCACATTAACTTTTTCTCTTAACTCATTCCTTAAACCTTTGAAGACAGTCTGCCTCTACCTGTCTGTACTAGACTCTACCAGAAGATAACATCCACCCTAGAATTAAAGTTCTAAACTTAGCCATGGTAATATATCAGGATTTCACTGTATTTCGCGGAAAGCACTTTGACATTCAGGTTTAAGAACCCTGTCACATAACAGAACTTGGTATACAATGCAGGCCTATGCTGGATTTGTTCTAAGGGTAGAAGCCTAGTTCTCTGTACAAAGAGTCTCTTCTCTAGTATGGTCCAACAGCATGGGCCTGGAGGAATACATCAGACCAAGACCCTCAGGGACTACTACCTAATTTAGTTTGGGGCTTTGAAAAGTGAAAATGACTGAACTCCAGCCAAAAGACCTCTTACTTAAACACAGCACTTACACAACATTGCGGCTCCTACAACGGCTAAAGGAGAAATGAGTCCAAGAAAACCCCACCAAGCAGGAAGCTCAGTAGCGATACTAGTATTGGCCATTTAACACACAAATGCACACAGACAGGCCTGGGGAAGAAAAAGGGACTCCAGGGCAGAAGCTGCTGCGGCTTCGAATGGCCCTCTCTCTCTCCTACCACCTGAATGCACAAGTGAGAAATGGCAAATAATGTCATTTTAAACAAACTCAGAGGGAAAAAATGTGTACCCGTCCTTTTACCAGGTAAAAAGAAAAATTCTAACAATTCTTTGGAAAGTAAAAAAACCAAAACAACTCGATAACTCTACTGTATTACAGCTCCACCTGCAGCTAAAGCCACAGTTAAAACACAGGGATGTGTCATCTCACACAGCAACCAGTCTACCTCCCGGCAGTCACACCCCTGGGTAAGCCCCTCTCCCATATCAGGGTTGGTCGGGTGACCAATGGTCTGGCAGAAGTGTTGGTACGTCATTCCCAGATGAGGTCATGAAAGCACTGTGGGGTTCCATTTTGGTCTCTCTATCTCTCTCGAATTACTCACTCTGAAGGAAGCCAGCTGCCACGAGCTACCGACAAAGAGGCTCCCTGTGGCAGGAAGTGAGACCTCCAGCCACACCCAGTGAGGAACTGAAGCCTGCCAACCACCACAGGCGTGGGCCTGGCAGAGGATACTCCCGCCCCAACTCGAGCCTTGGCATGGCTGCAGCCCCAGCTCATAACTAACTCCACAGCAACCTTGTGAGGGATCTTGGGCCAGAACTGTCGGTTTGGCTGCTTCTGGATTCCTGGTCCCTTAGAAAAAACATGAGATGTTTGTTGTTTTAAGCCACTAGGTTTTGGGGTACTATGCTATGCAGCACTAAGTAGCTAATAGAGCTCTTCACCCCCCAAATGACTGACAAACAACCAGTAAAGGTGGGGGGGCAGAGACGAACAGACCCTGTGAATTTAAGTTAAGAAAAATAGAAACATTTCAGAATGCATTCTATTTGCTCAATTAGGCAACAGAAAAGATGTTAAAAGAGACATACCCTCTTCTTAAGTAGTTCTGAATACTCTGATATGCAGCATTAAACATTTCTAGGTCTTCTTTTTCTCCAAAGAGAATGTAAGATTTCAAGAGGTATTCATAGAAGGAGTCCAGCCCAGCGCCCAAGCCACTCTGTTTTCCAACCCAATGGCCCGTCTGAATGTTCACAACATTGCCTGCGGAGATAAACAGGGCGCTTCAGGTTCCAATTATCTTGGGGTGGGGATCAGTTGGGGGTGAGGGACAGGTGGGGGGGATGGGGACAGACCTCCTATTTCGACCCCACTGTTCCTCAGCACCTTCATCTTTGTCAGGTAAGAGGAGTGAAGGCTTGACCCTAAAATTTTTATCGGTCCTATTAGTAACTTGGATAGCCTAGAGATTTTTCTGAATGTTTAACCACTGACACAAAAATGGAGATATACATTTAACGTAAAAGGAAAACAGGTTTGTCATGTCGCTTTTCCAGATTGACAATACATCTTAAAACCCAAAAGAGTGTTCATAGCTTTTAACCCAGTACAGCCATTCCTGGGAAATTATCCTTAAAAAAAAAAAAATGTTATTTACCAGAAAATTATCTGTAAAATGGAAAAAAGAGAGGGAGAGAAATAACTAGACTCCAACATGAGAAAAAGAGTTAATGGACAGTTATGTAGCTTCCAATAAATGATAACTATGAAAACAAGGTAATAACTTGGAAACACTTAGATGACCTGCCAAATTAAGGCAGGATAAAACTGTTTGTTTATATTATATTATAACTGAAAATATTTAAAAGCTGCACATGCCAGGCTGAAAGGATCTATGGAAAGCTAAAAAATTAACAATTAAGGGAGACACTGACCAACCATTTGGTGATAGACTGACAATCTGAGTGGCTTCTTTATCTCTATTGTTGTGGTTAAATACAAATTTGAATATACATTTTACAACTTAAAAAACAAAAAAAACATACCAGGCAGCCACCAAAAATATAAAAATAAAAAATCACTCTTAAAAACAAAGCTTTTAGGGCCGGCCCGGTGGCGCACTCGGTAGAGTGCGGCACTTGGGAGCATGGAGGCACTCCCGCCGAGGGTTCGGATCCCATATAGAGACTGGTCAGCTCACTGGTTGAACACAGTGCGGGCGCGACACCAAGGGTTGCGATCCCGTTGCCGGTCACAGTACGGGTGCGACACTGAGGGTTGCGATCCCGTTGCCGGTCATGAAAAAAGACAAAAAGGAAAAAAAAAAACAAAGCTTTTGCAACAACCCACTACAGCTGGAGGACAACCAATCAAGTTACTTCCCAGTGCCAGAAAGAAAATATTTTCCAATATGAGACAAACAGTTACATAAGGTAAAAACATATTTGAGTTATACATCTTGAGTTAGCAAAATACTGATAATTATTAAAGATGAATGATGAGTACACAGGGGTTATTATTCCTTATACTTTATCTCTATTATGTTTGAAATTTTCCATAATAATTTTTTAGTAACACCTTGACCAAACATTCTCAGTGGAAAAACCCCCACCTAATATAGGTTTAATCTGGGCTTTCAATCTACTACTCCACACCTAGATTTTTTAAAAGGAAAAAGCTGTTCCACCAGTAACTCTAAATTCCTATATTTGGAACCCTATATTGAAGCAATAAAATCTGCCTCAGGGGCAGTTCTTTTTGCAGCATTTCCATTAACAGTAATTTTCAAGTGGAATATGCCAAGGGATCCAAATCATAAGGGAGCCCTCAAACGGCAGAAACATTAGTCTTTTCCATCAAACTTTACAGCCTCACTCTAAGTAAAAGGTCATATAAAGAAACTGGATGTGGCAGACACTGAGGGCCACTGAGTCGTCAATTTTCAGATTCAATGGTACAGCGAAGAAGTGGTGGAGGGTGGGAGAGCCTCAGAGAAGCTCAAAGGGGAGGGGACCAGACGGTATGCAGTCCCACTGGCACAAGAAGATGCCTCCACACCTAATAGTCCTGTATCATTGCTCCGGAGGCTCCAAAGGGCTTTAACTGCTCGTCTGGCCACCCATTCAAACGTGGAATCCCCCAGCAGTCGGCTCAGAATCCCAAATTCCACCAGGAGGGAACCAGCTCCTGCCGTGCACGTCTCGTTATTGCTGTCAGGCGGAACTCCTGTCTTTAGATTCACCTGGGGACAGGAAGAGACAAAGGCTTCATGGCAACACTCAAGGAACCCACTGGGGTGAAAGGCCAGAAAACAGATACTACATTTGACTAACAAGCCAAGCTTACCACGGTGAGAGTCAGTGCACTGCCTCCCAAGTTGCATCTGAGATGAATGTGAGAGTTAAATTTAAAAGACAAAGGGCTGGCCAGTTAGCTCAGTTATTAGAGAGCAGCCTTGTAACACACTGAGGTCAAGGGTTCAGATCCCCATACTGGCCAGCCACCAAAAAAAATAAAAAGTAAAAATAAAAAGACACAAGATAAGAACAGCAGAGACTCATCTTATTAATAAAAGCAAGTCTTCAGGAAATAATTATAATTCTATTCACTAAACCATCTCTTTCCAGCAGGTTTTCTTCATGTTTGCAAAACAACAAGGCTTTGGGGTTAGAAACAAAGGCAAGCTATGGAATCACTTACAAATTTTAAGTGAGCAACTGTGACCTCACTCCTGCTCAGCAGACACAGACAAATCTCAGACTGGGAGGAAAAGTCAGCATAGCAGAACATGACAGCTGGCTTCACCACAGAGGATCCATGGTGTGGCAGTTCTGCGCTGGTTACCCAAAAGGCTGACTCAATTCCCAGAGGAGTTCTGGGCTCAACAAATCAGATGCCACAAAGATATAATCTCCTTCCAGATCTTGCATTTAAATCAGCACCTAACTTGCTGGTCTGTGCAGGCTTTACTTGAAGATCATGTGAAGCATTCAAAAAAACAATCACTGAACTCCTGTAATATACATGTGAGGATCTTTAGGAAAATACACCCAAGTCAGAAATGAACACAAACTGCCCACACTATTTTGTAGCAGAAGATAAAAATCACACAAGTAAAAGGACTTAATCATACTGAACACAGAAACATAAGTTCCCTAAAGGGAAGGATTAAATCAGGTATGTCACACACAGTAAATGCTGAATGGATTAAAAAACAATTACATCATACCTAGGACCGAATTCTCTCAAGGACACCACTTTCCTATTCTACCTCAGCCCCATTATTCCTTCCTCCAAATAAATTAATACAGCAAAGAGTTTTAATTCAGGAAGATGGCAAATTGTCAAACACAAAGGTTCAAACCTACCCGAGGATATGGGATCCCTGTCTTGGTGTTTTCAAAGGCAGGGAGGAGCCGCACAGCCAGGTCATGGGCCATGTGCAACAACTCATTATCGTAATCCTTAATTGTCATGTCACCAAAGGGCTGCTTGGAGTCAGTTATTATTCTATGGGCAGAAAGGAGGCTTCCCAGGACCCTAATGACAGGAAGAACAAAAAATAATGAAATCACGTTGCTGGTAAATGCAAATTAAAAACGACAGAAGAAGCCTCTATTTCCTTGTGGACTGAGAACTGCCTGGAGTCAGAAGGACTTGACTTAATGGCCTCTTAAAGTCTTTCCAGTTCTGATAGTACATGATTGATTCTTAGTTAACCACATTACTGACAGGGAGAAAGGGAATCATTCATCTGAGGCTACCAAGAAAAATACCATTTAAATATTAACATATTTTACAATCTTAATGTTAGGGCATTAAGAGAGTGTATTAATTGGAGTATACTGATTGTCCTCAATAAATTTTACTTATTATTCCACTAAATTACTCTTGATTTATCTCACCTGGGGAAAAAACTTAGCCATATAACAAAGAGAAAAAGGCAAGACAACTAAATAAGTAACTTATTTAGTTTTGGCTGCCAAGCAACTGATGAACTTCTCTAATATCTGGTAAAGAGGCAAGGTGAGGAGAAAGAGAAGAGAACAAGGAGAAAATGGACCACTCAGAGGCAGGAGGCTCCCAGCTTAGATCTATGCCCTGTAGACACACAAATGTCCCCTTCCAATGATATGAAGTGGACTGTGACATTTTTCAGAACAAATGTTTTCATAACGTTAATCTTAAATAAATATTACATCTGTAAACTGAAATGTTATGCAGTAATATAATTATTTAAAAATGACATTAAGCAGAAGAAGTCATAATATATCAAACTAAAGAAAGCAAGATACAAAACTGGGCATAGAATATGATCCCTACATTAAACAAAGAGAGAGAGAGAGATTACTAAGGGACAAACATGAGAAGGAAATACACCAAAATGGTAAGCAGTGGTTTTCAGTAGGTGGTAGGTGAGATGGGAAACTCTTATTTCTTTTAGAAATATGTAGGGGTTTTCCTAGGACACAGTGAATGCAAGAAATGAGACCAGACATAAAGGGAAACCATGAAACTCTGCATTAGAGGGACACCTTCTTACACCCCCATTAAAACATAAGTGTCTTTCTGTTTAGTCCAAAATGTGTGATTACTTTGAAATATCAATTGTACCAATTTGTATAAATATAAAACTAAACATGAAAAATGTGCACTGTGCCCACAAGGTTTATATGGACTCTCTACGTAGATCTTGGGGCTAGAAGACCCTCACAGGAATCCTTCTCTATACATACACAAAAAGAAGCCTTCAATTCATTGTAAGTACTATTTTACCTTATCGTGGCCTCAAAGACTTGGACAGTGGAATCTTTGTCAAATGAAACTGTGTTGATCACTAACTTGACTGCTTTCTGGAACTCGGATGAATTTCCCATTACCTTTAAAAAGAGGAACATAGACCATTACAGCAGCTTGAAATGAAACAGGCTACATGATCACAGCAGCAGGCCACATCATCTAAACGTCTGTGTGTGGTTTTGCCACTGCAGGAGTAAAAACACAAAAGGTAGAGAAGCACAGTTATTTCTCAGAACGTATTCCGGGCCAGATGGCAAGCCTATTTCTTCCAACTCAAGAATCCTATCTCCAAATGGCAAAACTGTGAAGATAATTCCTCATAAAATCACTGGCACTCCTTGTCTTCCCACACCATTCTCCCTCAAACTTCAGTCTCAACTTATTTATCGTGAAAGGCACTGTAGCTCCCAAAACTTGTGGAATGGGCAAAAATAGATTTAAAAATTGAGAAAACAAAAATATGACTTTCCCTGTGCTCCGCAAATAAATCAACAGCTTGGGTGCTTGTCTCTCAGGAGACCCAAACATCTCAAAAACTGACTGAACTTGCTTGTCATCTAGATGTCTAAACAGTTTGATAAATAGTAATAATAGGTTTTGGAACACAGCATAAAGCCAGGGACACATAAAACAAAACATACAAATAATCAGCTCTATGTCCTTTTTAAAAAGTGATCTAGAATTATGATTCCTATTTTGGGTGTGTGGATACAATGTCATACACCAAGCCTCTCCTACACAAAATGCAAATTGGGCATAAAATTTTATAGATTAACCTGAACTGAAATGACTTCATTCTATTCCAAATTTTATGACAATCTTATCACTACAATGACATTTTAAGGACACACACAAAAAAATCAAGGATTACAGGTCAAGGGTGTGGATCCCCTTACCGGTCAGCCACCAAAAAGAAAAAAAAAAAATCAAGAAAAAACAAATAATTTTATCAGACACTACTTCTTTCATGTAGGTCTTACTTCCTAATATCTATTGGTCTGCTACATCTTTTCCCACTTATAATTACTTTGCTGTAACATACAGAGCAAGTACAGATGTTTCTTTTCTGACATTCAGTTCTTTCCTTTTAAAAGATTATGCAATAATACTGCAAGTTGCAGCCAATGGTCATAGTACTGCTCTCTTCTGAGTGTTTCCACAGCACACCTGTCAAAGCCTGTTTAAAACGTTAACAAAAGAAAAGGAAAACCTCAACATAAGTAACACCTGAAAAGTCAGCCTGACAGGCTAACACATTAAAGGCCGGATATTCTACAATGAAACCCACAGAGGTGGGTCTGTTTCCTTACAGATGTTCACCAGCAACAATATCTGGTGCAGCTGCAGATGATGATATGATCTCAGATCAAGTAGAAGATGGTAAAGGAAGCCAGCAACTCTTAATTACATATTGCAATTTTCCATTTTACTCAGATACTTACAGAGCCCAGAGTAACCAAACCAGGCTATAAAATCATTCACTCATGTTTCAGAAAGCTGGATTGGACAGAAGAGTTAAATAGGTTTATTTACTGCAGAACTTCTCAGAGCCTTTAAAATGTTGATGCACATTATGGCTCTCCAATAGTGGGACAGACACAGAATTTCTCAAGTTCATTTGGGAACAGAACTCTACTTTCAGGGAGTACATCCTTGAAATCTGTGTTAGGAAATGCTGGATTGGTAGAAATTCATTTTTTGAACAAATATTTGCATTCCCACACTGAATAATAGAGATAAAGTCTCTGTACTTAACAAGTATGGCAGAGAGATAAAAAGACAAAATGGAACAAAAAAAAAAAGGCTCAGGGAGAAAAGTGAGCTTTCATAAGCTGTATATGAGTCTTAGGACTTCTCTTTTTAAGCAACCCTTGTAGGCTGAGTCATCCTCTAGTATCTTCAACAAGTTAGCTCTAAGTAGGCTGGAATACTTGTCTGGGCACATTTTGATCAGTGATGACTTAAATGGAGCAGCGATAACTTCAGAAGAAGATACTGGGAAACCAAATTGCTTTGCAACTACAGTCTAGTAGAATCAAATCCAGTACTCTAGATTTTCTATTAGATCAAGGGTCCTAGTTCTGCTACTTATTTATAAAATGAGAACGTACAATGATCTCTCAAGGTCTTTCCAAATTCTGATAATTCTACTAATAGCAAGATCCTGAACAGCGTAATGCAAACTTAGGTAGCATTACTCATTACTCATTACTCATTTCTAACTCCTTTTAACTCTAAACTGTTAATTGAAACAGCTTTAAACACTTTTAAGAAATGTTAAAAGAAACCAGAATAAATCATTAAATACAGGATTTGGGCTAGACTGCAGTAAGAATTTCCTAATGGGAAAAGCTTGTTGGACAATGAAGGAGAGCAAAGAAGTTGTAAAACCACCTTTTCTAAGGAGATTTAAAAACAAAGCTGTGCTGTAATATAGTCCCTTGGAAATTGTATTCTATAGCAAAAGGGCATGAATTAGACTAAGCCCATAGACACAGCCTGATCATGTATCATGTCCACAGTGTCTTCTTGCCTTTACTATGTTTCTGCATATCTGGCCAAAGGATGAGGAGGTAAAGGCAGCACCCAAGTTGGCAGCTCAAGTATGGAGTGGATAGTGTCCATAAAATAAGCAACAGCAAATAAAAAGGAGTGTTTGTAGAGAGCTCCACATATGGGCTAGCCCAGGGCTCAGACACACTCTTGTGAGCCAGGTGGTGTTTCAGGGTACCTACAACTCTGAGATCTTCTGTCTTTTATTCCTGAAATAGTAATACAATAAATGTAAACATTAATGGATTTCTCTATGGACTGATTCCTTTATGGAATAAGATAGTGGGAAACAAAACACAATTACACATTTCTTCCCTTCTTTTTTTTTTTTTAGGAGAATCACATTTCCCCTCATTTAACCACCAACTCTTTCCTTGCTCTTCCCATTTAAGGTCATTAAAATAAATAATAGCTATCAAAGCTAGCAATACATTTGGAGTATCAGGTTCCTGTTCCCTGAAATTCCCATTGCTGGGGGAAATTAGGGTTAATCAACTCAAAAAAATCTTAATTTTTTTTCTTTTAAAAAAAGATGAACACTTACTGCAAGTGTGTCCAACGCGTCAACAAGAGTCAATGAATAGTTCCCTAGTACATCATTGATGTTCAGATTTGAACTGAAAAAGAAATAAAATTAAGAATTAAACAAAGGTACTTTATTTTAAAAGTGTAAAAAGACACTAAAACTAAACACCTATTAGAAACTACAACTGCCAGCAACTTGTATTTACTCAGGAACTGATTATGGGTGGATCAGTATGGCAAAGGTCTTTCTGTCTCAAAAGCAAGCTTCTACAGTGTCTGTAAGTAGAATCGAGTCACAAACCACAGAGACACACTTGTACTATAGTGGAAAGAACACTCATCGGGGAGTCAGGAGATGGTGCACGAGTCATTTGCCCTCTCTGAGAAAGTTTTATCACCATAAATGCTCTCTTTGATCATGTCCAGCTTCAAAAAGCTCAGATCTGGCAATCACTAGGAACTAAAGGAGAGACTTGTCATGTGACCTACCTGTAACACTTTAATACAGAAATTAAACACTCCAGCCAATTACATACATAAGTAGTAAATACCTTCAGCTAGTCTCAGTGTTACTCATCTGTCGTCTGGATGGGGGAATAAATTAACTTCTTTATATCATCTTTTCAGTAACACCTCATCCAAAGAATCCCCATTATTTCCATTAATTCTGAGACGTCTTTTACCATGAACCAAAGCAGGAATTGAGGCCCTTTCTTCTTAACTGGAGCTGCATAGATGTTTCCGCCACACACCTCCCACCCCCATAATCAACACCAATTTTCCATTCTGAAACAATCTCAAGAACAACTTCAGGACAACAAGGGTAAAGCTCTTCAGTCACTCTGATATTTCTTTATAACAGTAAAAGTGACAACCACAACCATAACAACTAATACATTTGGGAAAGGTAGGGATGGAGAAATAATTAAAGTAAAAAAGTACGGCTCGAAACATTCTGGGGACCTCATTTACTCTACTGGCCCATTCCCACAAACCCAGAAAATAATTGCAGAAGCTTGAAAAAAATGATAGTAAGGGGAGACCTATTTTGAAATTTCATTTATTAGAGGCCAAAGTGAAAAAGCTCCAGTTTTATTTCCAGTAACAGATTCATTGATATCTGGAGTCTTCCATCATTATCCCCAGAGCACTTTATCTTTCCCTTGGATCACCCCCAGTGAGAGAAGCTTCTGGGGGACAGCATAGCATCTCCCATGTTCTGGGGGGCTTGCTGTGTTCCTTGACAGGCCTGCTACGTGCCTCAGCTGGAGTGAAATGGCCTTACATAATAAAGCAGGTACAAGTATGTCATCTTATCTGAACCTTCCAATTGCCTTGTGTTATGCCATATTATGCCATTTAATCAAGAACAAAGAATTTATAGCAAAATTTTAGCTACATTTTTTAAAACAAGTGATATAGAGGGGGCTATCTACGAACTAGGGCTATCTCGTCTCCCACAAGCCATGAAATCAGCAAACTGTATGGCTGGAAAACCACGCCTCCTTCTTCTATTTGTTGATTCTTTCTAAATAAATTTCTGTAATATCACAAGGTCCTCACAAGGCGAAAGCTATGGATTCAAATATGCCTCTCAAGGGTACTGCCAGCCGGAAGGGATACGGGAAATGTTGAAGGTTGGAGGAGGGGGTCATAAGAGACACGAGATCCTCATGCTCAGTTCTGCCAACTCAAGTATATTCTGCTGGGTTTGAATATTTATTATGTTGATCTACTGCTCAGAGTGGGCTCTAACAACCCACCGCACCAGAAAAATCATCATTTAGCAACCAAGCTAGATGGTGAGTGAGCAAACCACATGTAACCACCCTCTCCTGAGGTACAGCTTAATCTGTGGCATGTGTCCCTGTCCCCACCTGCACAGCCCGTGGAAGGCATTACTAATTTTGAGCACTGCACGCCTTCCCATGTTTTATTGTGCTTTTACTTTTAGTCTAGAACTAAAACAGATCCAGTTTTAAAATACTTCTTGATGCAATGCCCAAGCAGTCACTAACAACTGATAACAGTTGCCACAGTAAAAAAAAAAAAAAAAAGAAGAAGAAAGAAAGAAAATGTATTTGCATTAACTGTGGTGGCTCCTCCTCTCCACGCTAATCAGACAAGTCCACTCAAAGATCTGGGGTGTTCACTAGAACACTTTTCATTCTTTTCTACCAAATAATTGCTATACACTCCTTCAAAATGCGCCAAAATAGAAAAAAAAAAAAAGGGGGGGAGGGGAATGAAGGAAAAAATAAGACTCCCTGAAACTCTTTTGGCCTAACAGCATGAAATTATCCTATGCAGCTAAGACTGTGGATTTGTTCTTTGTAGATATTCTTGATGTCCAGTCTGACCAGACACCATTTAAGTGTCTCAAGCCAAGAACTCAGTCTTCCAGAACACGGTGAGGCTCAAAAGTGCACATCTTTCTACATATCCAGCTGGCTGAACCACAAAACTGAACGCTCCACTTAATGTCACCATGTGCGAATGTTCACGGCACTCACCCACTATGAGTTTTTAAAGTTCTTATCACTCAAAACAGAAAAGATGGAGAAAAGTACGGCCTCTGATAGAAAATTCTTGATTATGGGCCGGCCCGGTGGCGTACTGCTGTAGTGCGCCGCTTGGGAAGCGCGGCGGCGCTCCTGCCCGAGGGTTCGGATCCCACATACAGACCGGTTCCCACTCACTGGCTGAGCGAGGCGCGGGAGCAGCACCGAGGGTTGCAATCCCGTTGCCGGTCCCGGTCCGGTACGGGGGCGACACTGAGGGTTGCGATCCGTTGCCGGACACGGAAAAAGACAAAAAAAAAGAAAATTCTTGATTATATAGCTAACAAAATCACACGTGTGTTAAAAAAAATTTTCCCCATATACTTAACCTGTACAGCTGTTCAGAAATCTACGTGGTGCTGTGTAGGCACAGAGATAAGATAAGAAACAGTCCCTGCGTTCCAGGGATTGAGAATCTGGGAAGACAAGACAAAGGGAAATGTAGGTAAATACACATAGTATTCAATTCTCAAGCAATGTAAAATGTGGAATAGCAGCTCAAAGGAAAGGAACTTAAAGGAGAACTGAGTAAATTAAGGAGACTCATGTTCATACAGTTCAATGACATCACAGAAAAAAAGACGGGGGCCTGCTTCTGGAGGGCAGGACTTCAGAGAAAGAGGAATGCAGAGGAGGTCATCATAAGCTGGGGTGCCCAGGAATGAGTAGGTTTGGGGCCACTATTGGTGTGGTTTGTTAATTTGAGATTTGCTTTTTTGTTTTAACAGCAATATGTTTGAGGAGTCAGCAAGAATGGTCACATATCCAAGCCCTGAACTATAGTTAGCATTTACAGGATTATGAAAATGTAATATCTAAATTTAGTCAAAGAAACTCTTAATGTGGATCCTCCAACCCAAATTGGGGATGTGAGAAGAACTGACTTTGCATAGTAATCTCTAGCTGGACAGAAAGATTTGCTATTTTTATTTTTATTTATTTCTTTTTTGGCAGCTGTCTGGTACAGGGAACCAAACCAATGACTTTGGTGTTATATGGCTGTGCTCTAAGCTACTGCACTAACCAGCCAGCTCCTAGATTTGCTATTTTTAAAGTGTTCAGGTTTTATTAACACGTCACCCAACCCCCAGGCAAACAAGACAGGCAAGATAAGCCTCAAGTAAAGTGGCTAAAAAGAAAAGACACACATGTTTAGCACCCATTTTTGTATCTGTACTTTTTACATAATGTTCTTATGGCGAGTTCAGTTTTTTAGAAGAATCATTAGAATATATTTGACAGCAATCATTAGAATACATTTGATTAAAAAATAAATCTGACAGGGGCCGGCCCGGTGGCGCACTGGATAAGTGCACCGCTTGGGAAGCGCGGCAGCGCTCCCGCCCGAGGGTTCGGATCCCACATACGGACCGGTTCCCGCTCACTGGCTGAGCGAGGCGCGGGAGCAACACCGAGGGTTGCAATCCCGTTGCCGGTCCCCGGTCCGGTACGGGGGCAACACTGAGGGTTGCGATCCGTTGCCGGACACGGAAAAAGACAAAAAGACAAAAAAAATAAAATAAAATAAAATAAATCTGACAGAGTTTTATTACAGAATATTTATTTGGGGGATGTAAATGTGCCCTATTATTTCAGTCAAAACAACAAAGACCTGGTTCTAAAGTTTCCTCAAAAATACCAAAGCCTGAAAGGAGTTTAAGGAAAGAGAGTACAAAAAATTAACCTTTCCACTCTTTGTAAGTGGCCAGTGCCACCAAAACTCCAGGGCTCTTTCATCTCCTTAAAGACACAAAAGTTTAGCAACCAAAAAGCTTACTAACCTCTGTGCACAACTCCCCAAATGCTGTCCTGCCCCACCAATACTAACACCATCTTTCCAATGACAACATATCTGTCTTAAAGCAACCTGACCTTAACTTACACAGATTGCCACTGTATAACCAAACCAAACCACTTAGCAGCAGCTTTCTTCCTGAAACAACGGCTTAAGTCACACAGGACACCACCCGGACCAACATGTTAAATCAACCACCTCACCTTGCTGGAGAGGGGCTACCAATTCTTTAGAGGCCTCTTATGGTTCATTAAGAAAAACAAAGATGTCATCAACTCACTCTCCAATCCATCATATTCCCAATTGAAAGTATTGTCACAATTCCCCAATAAACAATGGTCCTTAAGTCCACCAGAAAAGGCAAATCTGAGAAAGAGTCTGAGAGAGAATAATGGCACTTACTGAAGGTGCTCTCTCCTTTCTTTGCAATACTATGCGCATGCATTAGTGAGAAAGCACAATTAAGATCCAAAATATGTATACACACTTCGATTGCAATTATGTGAAGAGAGTATAGGCATATGGGCAGGAGCTAGCAGGAAAGATAAATTTTAAAAACTGGTGAAATTTTAGGCTTTTTTCCCCAAAAATTTAGCTAAGTTTATCCTAAAAAAAAAAAAAGAAAGATTGAAAGAAAATATAATAATAGGTATAAAATCCCCTCTAATTAAGCGAAACAAATAACTCATTCACTTTGTAAAATCTGGAAAGGCCCAGTACTTTTTTTTTCAAAATTCAATAAAGTTTTTGCTCAAAAAGAAAAAAAAACTGTATGTATGAAGGCTGATATGCTTAAACAAGAAAAATAACTCATCAGTTTCCTACAATTTTGGAAAGGCCTAGTCCTTTGAAGTTAGCCTGTGATGTGCTCCTGTTTCACTAAAACATCATATTCTCAAATTGCAATTTAAGACAAGAATTTGTGGATAACCAAACCATCATAAAAACTCTTTGAACCTCTCAGACTCCCTTGTTCCACAAGGTGATGGAAAACGCAAACGTCCAAGGCAGCCATGAGCTGTGTCAAGGCACTGAGCAACCCAAATCCTCCACCCCCACCCAAGCGAGGTAAACAGAGGAAGGCAGTCACCTATCCGGCCTAACAGCGTCCATGGCAATGCACACCCCTCTCCTCCAGGTCCTCCGCTGGGTGTGCTGCCCTCTTGGACTCTGATGTCAACAGCAGTGACCCTTAGAGGACAGCCTTTGCAAACAAGACTAGTGGATGGTGAGGACTAGCTGACCTCTCCTGACAGTCCTGCCACCAGAGTGGGAGAATTTATGGGACAGAGAATTCAGCGTACAAGGAATCTCACCTAGAGTATCAGGACCCCAAATCTGGACCTGACAGCCTCCCTGCCTCCCTCCCACCTAACTATTCTCAGTCTAAAAGCAGACCCCGTAAAGGAGAAAGGCTGTAATCCCTCTGCCTTAAACTCACTGGATGACTTTGGAGAAGTCCTTTCTTGGGATCAACTCCTGAATTTTCATAAGGCAAAGAGCTGGTTGTGGCAATCCAATTAGAAGGGAAACAAGGGCTTGTTCTGAAGCTGTGTTTACATAGGAATTACATTTACATTTAGACTATATGTTCATCTGGGGAAAGAGTTCGAGATGGTAGTCTAGAACCACCCCCCTCCACACACACACACATACACACACACGCTAGCCCTTGGCACTGCCACTCTCCCTTCCGGTCTCTGGGCCTCAGTTTCCCCATCTGTAAAAGAGACTGAGCTAGACAGCTGTCCTGAAGTTCGAAAATTCCGGGAGAATCCAGAAAGAGAACAGCCGCCGGCCCATCTAGCACCCTCAAGCCAAGGGGGACCTCAAAAGTGGTCAGCCCAGGACACGGAGCGGACGGACGCTACCCCACGGACCCTAAAGGCCCTGGCACCCCTGGGGGCACCTGGAGGACGGAAGGAAGCGCGTGGGGTGCGCGACCCCGGGCGTCGACTGGCGACGGCTACTCACGGGTCCCCGCGGTCGGGCCCCCGGCCGCGGCAGTGGATGGGATTGAGCTCGTCCTGGGGAAAGGCGTGCGCCATGTAGTTGTCGTAGCCGAAGACGAACATGCCCCGCGCCAGGTCGCGCATCTGGGCGCGCAGCTGCGGCGGGAAGGCGCCGTTGTAGCGCTTCTCGTACTCGTCCGGGCCGCGGCCCCGGCCGCCCAGAGCGTAGCCCCAGTGGGTCGGGCCACACACGCCCGTCCCGGGCGGCCGCGAAGTCCCGCGCCCCCCGGCCGCCG